AATTCAAGTCAGGGTGAGGCCAGGAGGGAAAATCCAGGGGCAACTGAATACAGGTGGAATGAAGCAGAAGATATATAGAGGGAAGATATGTGATATATGGAGACAGAATACTGATAAGGCAGGGGAATGGATAGAGATAAAATGGCAGCAGCCCTACAAAAACTGATAGGAGCAGGTAAGTAGAATCTAACTGTGAGCAGCCAACAGAGGGGCTCAAGTCTTTGCATGTATGTTTTAAGAGTATGTTTTGAGCTCTAGAGTGATTGCACGTGAAGAAGAACTGGGCAGCATTTCCCTAAAAATTCCAGGAGGCAGCATTTCCCTAAAAAAATTCACTGGTTAGTAGTCTTTTAAAGATCTCATGATTCTCAAACCAATCTCGTGATTTCTGGAATTCTGACTCATCTTTGAATGATTTTGGCAATATTGTCTTCCAAAGTCTTTTAGGACCATTGGTGCTGGCAAAACTCCATTTGTAGACAAGTGGAGTTAAATGCCTGAGCTAGGATTGCAACAGGGAGGCACTCATAAATTACAAAGGAATCAAACTTCGCTACTGAAAAGCAGCCCCCTGTGAAATGAGATGCAGCAACTATTTAAGGGCAGAACCCCGTTTGGTTCTGAATGCCTCCCCCCTCCCTCCCAGCTGCTACTGAAGTTAATGAGAGACGAGAACATTCAGCATTTCACAGGAGCTGCTCAGTACCTCACAGATGGAGTTGTAATAGCACACAGCAATGAGAAACAGACAAAGGGAGGCATATCTTATTTAGCTGAAACTGAAGTGAGTTTGTATGTCCATAAAAAGAGGGTGATACAAATTGATATTTAGCTTGGACTCCAAAGCTAAGCCCCTGAAATGTGAAAAAGAATGCCATGGGAGCTTCACTGAACACAATCAATCAGGCCCTCTATTCTCCATCTCATCCATATGATGGCAACTTCTCCAGCAACACAATGTCCCCTATCACAATAGTCAGGTATGATAAGAACAAGATAGTCCATCTACCCCAGTATCCTGTCCTCTGACAGTGTTGAGTGTCAGATGGTTCAGAGAGAATGAACAGAGGACCATTATTGAGAGATCCTGTTGTTCAATCCTAGGTACTGACTGAAAAGAGAGAGTTCAGTCAACTGAAATGCCAAAAATAATTTTCTACAGTATCTAGATGTTGCTAGGATTCCCACTTAGTCTGGACCTTTGTTTAATTTGTGAGTTCTGACCAAACGGCAGTACAAGTTGACATGGCTGCTGAGGTGAACAGTGTCTTTTCCTGTCACCTTTTGCAGCAGTCCAAAGTGAACTAAAATGAATGTCCCCAGAAGAAATATGCAATTTCCCTCCTTCAAGAGCATATAAGAACATAAGAACGGCCGTACTGGGTCAGACCAATGGTACGTTTAGCCCAGTAGCCTGTCTGCCGACAATGGCCAGCACCAGGTGCCCCAGAGAGGGTGGACCAAAGACAATGATCAAGCGATTTGTCTCCTGCTATCCTTCTCCAGCCTCTGACAAACAGAGGCCAGAGACACCATTTCTATCCCCTGGCTAATAGCCTTTTATGGACCTAACCTCCATGAAATTATCTAGCTTCTCTTTCAATTCTGTTATAGTCCTAGCCTTCACAGCCTCCTCTGGCAAGGAGTTCCACAGGTTGACTACACGCTGTGTGAAGAAGAACTTTCTTTTATTAGTTTTAAACCTGCTACCCATTAACTTCATTTAGTGTCCTCTAGTTCTTCTATTATGGGAACTAATAAATAACTTTTCATTATTCGCCCACTCCACACCACTCATGATTTTATATACCTCTATCATATCCCCCATCAGTCTCCTCTTTCCTATACTGAGAAGTCCCAGTTGTTTTAACCTCTCTTCATATGGGACCCGTTCCAAACCCCTAATCATTTTAGTTGCCCTTTTCTGAACCCTTTCCAAGGCCAAAATATCTTTTTTGAGGTGAGGAGCATATCATACTTTGTTCTTGTATTTGTCCCTTTTTGGAAACAGATGCTCTTTGCTTTTAGGAAAAAGAACACATTAGCATCATGTGAAAGCATGAAGAAAACATGACATTCATATTAAAGATGTATACATTCAGTTTCTTTCTAATAACTTTGCTCCTTTTTCCTTCTCAAAATTGTCATGATTCAGAAAAAGGGAAAGGAGCTTCTCAGATTTATTCAGGTTTTTAAGGATTCCAACTACTTGGAGTTTTTAAAAAGCACAGTTTTAAATTACTGTTTTTCCAAAATATTGCATAAAGGAACCATTATGACTGTTCAAATAGTCCTTTTGACAGCAGGCAATCTGTTTTAAAGCCTCACACAGCATTTCTTCAAACAAATCCTCGTATGAAAATGAAACACCCCTGGGGCATGATGAAACACCAGTTAGCACCTTTATAAAATCTACTTCTGAGATTAACTACACTACAACGCTGGTAGATCAGAGCGTTACAAGTCTTGTATAAGTAGGAGGCAGATTTGTGTTAATTCGTCTCAGAGAATATAATTGCAATGTTCCTCTCATCCTGAAAGACATCCAACCCTAAGCATGTTAGTGATATACCCCTTCACAACATTTTTATGGCAAAATTCTGTTGCATATGGCTGCACTGATTTACACTGTTCTGCCCTTCCTATGTACTTAGAATTCCAACTTTATATATGTAAGAAGAGTAAAATATTAACCTTGAAATCCTCTGTATGGATGTGAATTAAAATACTGCTCTAATTTTGCATTGTCCTTTTGGCTTTCAAATTGTCATTGCATGTTTGGAAAGAGACACGGGTATGTAAAACAGATTGAAATCAAGGACATGCATGTTCTTCCTCTTGTCTGTGACCATTTTCCACATACAAGAATCAGTAAGCCATACAGTGCAACACTGTAAAGGTCAAGTTTTAGCACTTAACACTCAACAAGAGCCCACTGTTCAAATTAGAACATTACCCATTACTTATGTCACCCCTATTACCATAGTATCTGAGCAATTCAAAATCTAACATTTTCCCTCACAACACATCTGTGAGGGAGGGAAGTATGATTAGCCCCATTTCACAGATGGGAAATCAAGGCACAGAGATACTAAGGTTACATCTACATTTGAGCTGGGAGGTCTGATCCCACTCCACATAGACATACCCACACTAGCTGCTGCAGACACACTACAGGCAGTCCCCGACTTACGCGGATCCGACTTACGTCGGATCTGCACTTACGAAAGGGGCTTGCTCACAGGCAGTGGTCAGCCACCTTGACCTCCGGGGCGAGAAAAGCTGCTCCCGGTGCCCCTGGTCTGCTGGGGACCGTCTCCAGCAGACCAGGGGCACACATAGACATACCCACACTAGCTGCTGCAGACACACTACAGGCAGTCCCCGACTTACGCGGATCCGACTTACGTCGGATCTGCACTTACGAAAGGGGCTTGCTCACAGGCAGTGGTCAGCCACCTTGACCTCCGGGGCGAGAAAAGCTGCTCCCGGTGCCCCTGGTCTGCTGGGGACCGTCTCCAGCAGACCAGGGGCATTGGGAGCAAACCCGCAGCAGTGGCGGGGTCCCCCGCTTCTGAGGCATGGCTCTGGCAAAGCCTCAGAAGCGCGGGGACCCCGCCGCGGCTGCGGATTTGCTCCTGGTGCTCCTGGGCTGCTGGG